GCCGGCCTATTGTCTGATTAAAAGGTGTCAGGTGGCTCAATGTTGGGCCTTGACAAGCCTGGCCCGCCTTCAGTATGTGTTACCAAAAAAAAAATAATAATAATAATAATAATTTTAAAATAGTACCCACTACCCTTAAATACTTGTTTTCAATTTTTTTTTACTTTTAAATTTTACAATTTGATTGGCTAATTAATATAGATCTTTTGAGGCATGCTCTTTGGGCATGCCTCAATCTCAGGCATGACCCTGTAGATATGTCTAATTTTTTAACTGTGCCCCGAACCCTATGTATACTATATATGGCCACTACTAAGTTATTTTTTTAGTATAGATTTTTTTATTTATTTATTTATTTGCTATTTATTATTTTTATTATGTATAAATTCGTTATGCATAATTCATTACACATATGATTATTACATATAAATCATTATGTATAAAATTGTTTTATATAACTAGGGCCAGTAAACAGTTTTAGAATAGAAATTGTAATTATAAAAAAGATGTAAAACATCCTTTTAAAGAAACATGATTTACTATTATGTCCTAAATAACTATCTAATAAAACACTTTTTCATTTTAAATCTCTTCTAACAAAGATCTAACCTAACCAATAACTGAATATTTTGGTTATATTTGGTGATGATAACAAGACCCAGATTACCTACTCAAAAAAATTCAACTCAAAGATCACTTCTAATGACCCAATTAATGCCCGAATCATTTCTTAATACCAATATTCTGATTCATGCATTTATGCTTTACCTGATATTTCTATGTCTCACACCTACTATCTAATATCCTGACTCTAAGAGTAAATGTTAGTTAGATAAAAATACATTAACAAAAATAAAAACAAAGACACATATTTGTAAAAAGAATACGCCACTTCTAAGAGTTCTAGTTCATATATTTATAAACTGATATATGAGACTATATATTTTTGTATCCCATATCGTCTATCTAAAACCCATATCTTACAAAAAACTATTAGAAGAATATGAATAATATAATAAATATTAATAAAAAACAAAACAAAGATATATAGTATATAAAGAGGACACATTATTTTTAGCCAGTCTCTGCATCTTATATCTGCCAATGCATTGGCTTTTTAAAAGCATAGTCGATTCTCAGAGGTTCTACACTAATATGTTTTTTTGTGTTTAATTGCCTAATATAGTCTTGAAGTTTACTTTATTTGTTATAGTTCTTTATATAACAGGAAGAAGTTATTTCAAAGTGATTTTGCCCAATTTATCAAACCAAGTCCTATATATTAAAAAAAAAAATTTACTAGAAGAAAAAATTTTTTAAACAGGAATTACTGCATTTAAATATACAAAAAAAAAAATAATAAGCTGTATAATGTAAAAGGATATACCAATTCTATAGCCACTTCTACCTTACGTTCAACATTACATAATCCTTTATATTTAGTTCTGATTTCTCACTAAATGGGTCTAAGATCAAACTCGTTGTGTAAAACCAAGGCTTGATGATTTATTTTCAAAATGAGATTCTACTAACATTTCAAAAAGAGATATCGAAGTCTTGCAAATAAAAATATTGGTTTTTGGTTATTAATATAGAATTGGTATAAAAGAAAGGCTTTTGAATATTATATAAAAGCAGCTAAAAAAAAAAAAAGCTAACCCAACAAAGGAGTTCTACTTAACTGCTAAAAAAAGCCAGAGTTCAAAAAAATCTCCACCAATAAGGAAAAAAGTCCAAGAAAACTTGCAAGATCCAAACAACATCATATAAATTCTTTTTATGCCAGAAGAAAAGATTCTAAATCCCAAGAAAAGAAGTCGTTAATAAAAAAACTGAAGGAATAAGAACTAGAAAATCTAAGTCTGAAACTGGAAAAGACTAGATCTAAGAATTGGAGACAAAAGTATAAGTATAAAATATATTTTGGCTAAAAAATACAAGTGATACTTATTTTTCTGGAAGCTCTATCTCAACTAGAAAAAGAATATTCGAAGGTTAAAGACAAGCCTGAAGAAGGTTTACAAGGAAAACAAGTTATGTTGCCACTACACATGCTTGTGAATATTGCTATAAGAAGAGATCAAAGTTGAAGAAGCAAAGTGAAACATCAGATCTTAAACATGGCAATCGGAATAAAACTCTAAACTAATGAAAAAAAGCAGAAACTAGAGATGAAAACTTATAAAAATAAGCCAAGTTCTTTTAAAACATATCTAAAAGTGAAGAATTGAACAAGAAAAAGTTGATCAGAAATCCCAGTAAAGCCAGAACTGAAGAAACCATATACTAGAAAACTCGGGATAATGTAAAAACAAGCATAAAGCCAAAAAGACTAAAACTTGAAACTAAGAAGAAAAGAGGACAATAATAAAAAAAAAAAATTTTTTTAATAGATAGTTAGTGGATCATTATAACAATAACCTGACAATCATATGGGTAATATTAAGTTGAGATGAAAGAACAAGTTAACTGAAGCTCCTATTGTTACAATGCTACGGCCTTCTTGGTCAACATGTAGCAAGGTAACAAGGTTACCCGGTGCAGGGACCCTGCTACTGGGGTGTATATAGGGTGGAAGTAGAATATGCACTACTTCCACTCATCAGAAAATTTTTTATATAGATATATATCGATATATAGTGTTATAGAACAAATTAATTATTAGTTTATTATTTTATTATTTATTATTTATTAATTATTATTTTAGAATATTA